ATTTTGGCCGCAGACCTTGGACATTCCAGCAGGACTCAGCACCATCGCACTCAGCACGCACCATCCAAGAATGATTACAAAATGAGATTCCTCGCTTCATTTCCAGCGCACAATGGCCACCACTATTGTGTCTGGATTATTTTGGAAAGCAAGGTTGCACTAAAAAACACCAAAGTGTCGATCACCTCAAGCAAGCCCTTCGCTGGGAATGAGCCAAAATGCAGCAGAGCAATATTCGGGCAGCGTGTGATGGGTTCGTTGGCCGCTTGAAGGCCATAATTCGTGCCAAAGGTGAACAATTCGAACAAATCTAAACTTATTCTAAAATTTGATGCTATTTTCGATATTTTGCTTTCAATTAATAAAATTTAAAAAAAAATTAAAAATTATGACGTTTGACTTTGTTGCAGTTTTTTTTATCTCACCCTGTATATTTGTTACCTCACGTATATTTGCACATTCTCCAAAAATTGCACATGTCTCATATAAAGTATAGGAAGTAGTTGTACTATTTTTTTATCAGTCTTAGGTCAGATGCGAATTGGTCAATATTGTCTTGCTGAGTCGGAACCTTCCCCATAAAGGGTAAACAGTTTGAATAATCATAACACAAGGCTGGGGGTATACATCTGTTGGCAAAACCGACTGATACTATTTTACTTGTTTTTTTTTATTAAAAGGTAACCCATAATCTCCGATCCACTGGCAATATACAATTTAGTTTTCTTTTCGTTCCCTTAGAAGTGCTTATTCCCAAAGTTCTGCTCGAAAAAAATCCAAGCTCTCTTTCAGTTCAAAACCACTGTACCACAATGCGATTTCTCGCCAGCAGACACAACAAGTCGCACACTGTTTACTCGCCCATTCATTCCATGTAAGACACCAAATCATAGGCAAGCAAGTAAGCCAGCTAACCAACCAACTCAACCTCTCGAAAAAAAAAATAAAGCAAACTCCGAAAAGAAACAAAGAAAACAATCCATTCGCCAGAGGCAGGAGAAGATGTTCCAGGTGATTCGCCCGTTACGTGCATTTCCCAAGTTGCACTCAAATTCTCATTTTTCCGTTCACGTACTTCGATTAAACTCTCATTTCGGTCATAATTTTGAACATTTTATGGTTAGTGAACAGGCATTAAATTGTTACTGCTTGTGACGGCTACGCGGTGGCAGCCACATCTCTACCACATAAGTGGTGGCTAGTAAGTAAGTTGGCGAAGGGTTGTGGGGGGTGCATTATTTTGATGGGTAATACAAGAAGGAAGATTGGATGATTGTTTTATGGAAAATGTTGTCTTGTTTTAAATAAGATCTGTAAAAAAATTATATTTCAATAATGGATAGATCTTTGTGAAGTATTTTTGTAAAGTAAGCCCTTAGGAGGTTTTCTATGGTTAGAAGACCTTCATGTGATCTACAGAAGACTTTTAATGAATCCTTCAATTCTAAAAGTATTTTATGAGATATAGAGGACCCTCCATTTTAATCGCTTTTTAAAATTACTTGTATCTGTAGAACACGTTTAGAAAATCTTGTGTGTACGGAAGGCTTTAGGGAAGTCTTCTCTCTGCAAAAGACCAAAAGCTTATCTACATTTAACAAATCTATTGGGCCTTATTACTTTAGAGTAATTTTCGAAGGTCTTCCATTTAAAAAATACATTTGGGATTTCTATTTTTGGAACAAATTTAAGAAGCTGAAGAAACTCTTTAAAAGTATTTCTATCTTTTATTGAACTTTAGGATATTAAGGAGGTTTTCTATTTTTAGAAGACCTTATAGAAGAGGTATTATATCCACATAATATCTTTAGAAGGTAATACAGGACGGTGTCAATCTACAGAGACATTTTGGAACCTCTTCTTTTTAAAGAATCTTTTAGGTCTTCCACATTTAGATGACCCTTTGATATGTCATTGTGAAAATACATATAAAATGTTTTATTATATTTTGAAAGGCCCTCAGGAGGTCTTCAATTTTTCATAAGTAAAAAACAAACGCTGGGTTTAGATAGCAGACATGATGTTTGCTTGACTTTTCTCCCCAGGTGATGCACAAATACATGCTCTTTCAATCAGGTCCTTTACACTCATATTGTCTGTGGCCGGTACCAAAGTATCTGTATCAGCGTTTGATATCCTCTCTGTATTTAATAATATAGCCTGTGATTTCCACTATAAAGCGTTTTACCTCCAGGATCTTCTTGACATCAGGTACGGGTATCGTTACAAAAGTTCTTCGCTGTTCTCGGAAATTTCTGCTAAGTTCCCTCCAATGTCTGCATCTGGTACTGTTGTAGTCGTATGAATGGCATGTTGTACCTCTTCTGCGGTCGTCAAAGCGTCCAGGTCTTGTATTTCTACAGTGGCAGTTTGCTTGAGCTGAAAATTCTGGAACCGGGAAAGAGGTCCACTTTGGAGGTATCCAGGTCTTGTATTTCTACTGTGGATTTGGGTTTTCTCAAAAGGATCCTTTTATGACCTCATAAAATCCACAATCTCCACTCTTATTGCTCCTATTTTGGTTTTGCTAATAGATCGTATAACAGCTTCCGTTTCTTTAGGCTTTACATTCAGAATAGGTGTGTTCTACGACTGACTTAATTATTACTGCATCGGACAGGTTTCTCTTCTTTTTTCGCCAAATTTTTCCCATTTAGACCCATCTTCCACCTGCTTTCTAGTGGAAACCATTTTTGGGGTGATCTCTGCAACTCTATTTTTCAGGATCTGTTTCAGCCGGAGGTGTGTGAGAGAGAGAAAACATCTCTTGATACATTCTTTGGCGCTTGCTCACCTAGCTTTCCTTTTCAGCTGTTTTCCAATTCCTTCTGCAATTACGTCTAGAAGCTCGTCCAATTTACATATTCCATTTCGGACATCTCTGCAGACATTTTGAGATACAAAAACTGTTTCAAAGTCAATCGCCATAATTTTTACATTTTGTTTTAAATTTTATTAAATGAAAGCAAAAAATATCGGAAAGAGCATCAAATTTTAGAATAAGTTTAGATATGTTCGATTTATTCTGATGCCACGGTCGATTAATACGAGCGGAGAGCAATTGGCAACTATGGCGGCCCACACCTTCACCATGGCCGGCTTGAGGCTTGAGTTCTGGTGGCCAACCGAAGGTTTACATTTTCAGCTGACCTCTTTGTCAAGTCAACACGATCATTTTGTTTGTTTACAAACTGCTGGACAAAGAATGCTTTCTCATCGGAGAAAATCAAATTCGGCAATTCCCCCCATTTCGGCCAACGAAGCAACTTTTTATCTCTTTTGAGTCTATTTTCTTTCTGTTGCGGTGTAAGTTCTTGCACTTTTTGGAATTTCAGTGGCTTAACCCCGAGTTCATTTTTCAATATTTGGAATATTGCGATATGTTCAGCTCACGAGCCATTTTTTGCTATTTCCACTGCGACGCGGGTTTCTATCATGTCGCTTCTTTACTTTTCGAACCATTTCTGCTGATGTTGCTGTTTTCTTCCGCCCACTCCCTTGACATCGTGTTACGCTACCATTATCACGGTAACGAGCGATGGTACGAGACACAAAAGATTTATTCATATTTAAATGCTGAAGTGCTCTAACGATAGCCACTTGTGGTTTTCCAGCCAAATATAAAGAAATCACGCTTGAATTCCATCACGAATAAATTTTTTCTGGAAAATTCTCGCCAAAATGATTTTTTACGCTTGTAAACAATATAATGAGCTGTCACTGGAATAATTTTAACAGCTGTCGGACGAGTGACTTAGAAATGACAGTAGTCTGAAGTTGGTTGCAGTTTTTTCATCTCACCCTGTACTTCCGACCAGGAGCTGCACTAGAAAAAAAGTGTGTTCCATATAAAACGGAGAGCTGCTTTTTCCCATTTTACTTTCAATAGAAACCAAGACCTGATAGCTTCATGTTAAATAATTTACCTCTCCATGTTTTCTATCGTACCATTTCTGTGCGTCTGGGATTAGTTTTGGTGTACAATAGTCCTAGATTCTGTTTTGAATAAGAAGCCTGATATGGTCTACAGTATATTGTACTAGATTGGAAGGTAATGGGAAGTTCTGAAGAAGATTTTTGAGGTACGGTAGCCCAGAGAACAATTTCTATGTAAAATATTTACTACCTACAAAAGTGCTTCAGAAAATTTTGTATCTAAATAAGACCTATTAAATTTCTTCTACCCGTAGAAGACACCCACATAAAATTCACAAACACCTTCACCATACATATGTACATTTATATGCGTATCTGTTATGTGAGGTATTTCCCCGGGAATCTCATCCGCAATTATTTTTCTTTGTAAAGACAATTAAAAATTATTGTCTTGTTAAAACAATTCAAGAGTGACGTACTGCCGTTTACTACTCCTCACTACAAACGTGCAATTGACAACAAAGACAAGACATGATGATTAACTTCGTTACATATCTACGCCACTACCAAGACCAAGGCGGAGTGCAGAGTCAGCCATGGAAGAAGAGCATCATAACTGAGTCGATTATCAACTGTTCATAAAACCAAAACGTCACAAACAAAACAAACCATTTGGCCATAGCCATAACGCGCCAAATATGTGTGGCCAAAACAAAATCGATTGGTAAAACCCCCAACAACAACAACAACAACGAGAAAATTCAAAACAAAATTGTAAACCAAAAAAAATGTGACGTGACGCATGTGCAGTGGGCCATGACTGGGTAGAGAGAGAGAGAGAGAGAAAGAGAAAAAGCCCATATAAAACAAGAGAGAATTTACGATAAGGCCCTTCTGGGCCAGAAGGGTAAACAGCGCAATTAACACCCAACTAGTGACGAAATTTTTTTAGCTGAGAACAATATTCGCACTTGCTGCGTGCCTTTGCGAAAGGTGTGCTCTGGAGGTAAGCTGTCGTCTGGTGGGGTGTCTACATTTTTGAATACCACCAGCAGCATTGCTGCGATCACCACCATCCATCCATCCGCCTGATGGCGGTTTTGTTTGCCTCCACAACATCACGTCACTTCGATTAGTTTGTGTTGTTTTGGTTTCGCAGTGTGTTTTTTGCGAACATGGAAAAGTATATAACCACATGCGGCTTAAACCTCTGCTTCAGTTGCTTCATACACTCCGTCAGAGAAACCAAGCAATTGGTCAAGAAAAAAAAACATAAAGAAATAAAAAACCTATTGGGCGCCACATTTCAAAAATTGTGAAAGTGTTTTTTTGTTAAACTTTTGAATATTTGAAAAAAAAATTAAAACTAAAAATGTTCTGGAAAATTTCCTCCTCATCTGTGTTGTGTGTGGTCAGTGTTGTCATCCTGGTTCTGCTGTGCCTAAACACCCCCAGCACCGAAGCTAAGCCATGGGATTTGTATGATGATGTTTCGGAACTCTTCGATGCCATGTCTTTGGATGATGTGCCCGGGGCCAAGGAAGCCGAGAAACGTCAAACCAAAGATTTTTGCCGTATGCCAGCCCGCAAGGGTGTGTGCAGGGCTCTCATACCACGCTGGAGTTATGATGCCCAGAAAAAGGACTGCATTGAATTCAAATTTGGTGGCTGTGATGGTAATGACAACAACTTCCCCAGTTACAAGTCCTGCATGGCCACCTGCCAGGGCATGTAAGGAGGAGTGTATATTTTTAAGTATTTTTCAAACCGCAAATTTTAATTTCATAATTTTTAAAATATGTGATAAATTAAAAAAAAAAATTAAAAAAATACAAATGTTCCTTTTTTGGAGCATTACCATTTGAATGGCCAGAAAAGGTCCCTAGGCTTAAGAATGTAATCCCAAACTGTTTGAAAAATGGAAATTGGGTTTTGGTTAATTTATTTTTTAACTTTAATTCAAAAAAATTGTTCTTATTTCCATATTTATTTGTTTCCATCTTCTAAGTTTATAAACATTTTCATTTTAGAAAATTCAAACCCACTACCAAATCTATGTTTCCTATATTTGTTAGTTTTAAGTTTATTTTATTTTTCAGATATTATCAATGATAATATTGTTTTTATTGTTTCAATGTAGAAGCAGCGCTGTAATTATTATATTATTAATTTATACAAATAAAATATATTATTTAAAAAAAAATAATCTCAATTTTTGAATTTATTTAATTTGTTTGGGAAAATGGAAATCAGGATGACGATAAAGACAACATTTATTCGCGCGTGCAGAAAATCCAAAAAGGGGAGAAAAAAAATATTTTAAATGGAAAGATTTATTAACTGGAGGTCTCTAGAAGACCTGGAAGTCTTCTATAGTCTCTAGAAGACCTGGAGATCTTCTACTGTCTGTAAACGAATCGGAGGTCTTCTCGTGCCTATAGAAGACCTGGAGGTTCTCTAGTGTATATAGAAGACCAGGAGGTCTTGTAGTGTCTATAGAAGACCCGGAGATCTTCTAGTGTCTATATAAGACCTGGAGGTCTTCTACCGTCTATAGAAGACCTGGAGGTCTGCTAGTGTCTATAGAAGACCTGGATATCTTCTAGTGTCTATAGAAGACCTAGAGGTCTTCTAGTGTCTATAGAAGACCTGGAGGTCTTCTATTCTCTATAGAGGACCTGGATGCTTTCTATTGCTTACAGAAGGCCTGGAGGACTTCTAATGTTTCTAGAAGGCCTGTATGTCTTCTATTGTCTATAGAAGACCTGGAGGTCTTCTATTGTCTACAGAAGACCAGGAGATCTTCTGCTGTCTATAGAAGACCTGGAGGTCTTCCACTGTCTGTAGAAGACTCGGAGGTCTTCTCGTGCCTATAGAAGACTTGGAGGTCCTCAAGTGTCTAGAAGACCAGGAGGTCTTGTAGTTTCTATAGAAGACCTGGAGATCTTCTAGTGTCCCTAGAAGACCTGGAGGTCTTCTATTGTTTTAGAAGACTTGGAGGTCTTCTATTGTTTTAGAAGACTTGGAGGTCTGCTAGTGTTCATAGAAGACCTAGAGGTCTTCTAGTGTCTATAGAAGAGCTGGAGGTCTTCTATTGTCTATAGAAGAGCTGGAGGTCTTCTATTGTCTATAGAAGAGCTGGAGGTCTTCTATTGTCTATAGAAGACTTGGAGGTCTGCTAGTGTCCATAGAAGACCTAGAGGTCTTCTAGTGTCCATAGAAGACCTAGAGGTCTTCTAGTGTCTATAGAAGAGCTGGAGGTCTTCTATTGTCTATAGAAGAGCTGGAGGTCTTCTATTGTCATAGAAGAGCTGGAGGTCTTCTATTGTCTATAGAAGAGCTGGAGGTCTTCTATTGTCTATAGAGAGAGCTGGAGCTCTTCTATTGTCCAGCTCTATAGAGAGAGCTGGAGCTCTTCTATTGTCCAGCTCTATAGAGAGAGCTGGAGCTCTTCTATTGTCTATAGAGAGAGCTGGAGCTCTTCTATTGTCTATAGAGAGAGCTGGAGCTCTTCTATTGTCTATAGAAGAGCTGGAGCCGTATTAATCGTATTAATCGACCGTGGGCATCAGAATAAATGCCGAATATTATCGCGAAAATATTCTGGAGGGTGTATAAAGCCTTGGGCACGCAAAAATTTTGGCCGCAGACCTTGGACATTCTAATAGGACTCTGCACCATCGCACTCAGCACGTGCCACGCTTCATTTCTGGCCCACAATCTCCGGATACCTATCCGTTGGACTATTGTGTCTGGAGTATTTTGGAAAGCAAGGTTGACACTAAAAAGTACCAAATTGTCGATCACCTCAAGCAAGCGCTTAGCCGGAAATGGGCCAAAATACCGCAGAACCACATCCGGGCAGCATGTGACGGTTTTATTAGCCGTTTGAAGGCCATAATTCGTGCCAAAGGTGACCAATTCGAACATATCTAAACTTATTCTAAAATTTAATACTATTTTCGGCATTTTTTCCTTTCATTCAATAAAATTTAAAAAAAATGTTAAAAATATGGCTTTTGACTTTGTTGCAGTTTTTCATCTCACCCTCTATGCCAACATCTTCTGGTAGCACACCAACAAAGCGTTACAATTTCCAATACTTATATCTGCTTCTATACAGCTTGCTATATCTAAATATAAAGCTTTACCAGAAATCTCGGAATTGATCTGGCAGGTTATAATATTTATATCAGACTGAGGTCAGATTCGATTTGGACGATATTGGCAAACTGCTTCGAAACCTCCCCCATAAAGGGCCAACAGTTAGAATAATCATAATTCCAGGCTTTGAGTATACATCTGTCGGCAAAACCGACTGATACTTTTTAACTTGTTAAATTTTAGTTTCTGTTAACCTCTTGATATTTTTTCTTGTTCCAAAAAATATTCATACCGGCATTTTGTGCTTCCCCAATACCTATCTTCAAGCCCTAATAATCATAATTTATTTGCAACATAAAATTCCAATTAAAAAGGTGAATTACCCCATGGGGAATTTTTCACACGAATCAAAAAAAAAATAGTAAATAAATATCTAAAAATAGTTTTCAAAAATGTAAACAAAAGCGATAACGCTGCAATAGTAATAACAACAAAAAAAAATACTATTAAATTTATAAATATTCATGGGAGGATTTACAGAAAATACACACAATTAAAATTTAAAAAAAAATATTGAAATGACGCCAATTTGTCAAACTAGCAAAGATAGCTGGCCAAAAAAAGAGAAGCCGAAGCAGAAGAAATGCGGGTTAATAAAAGTTTATTGACTTGGTTGCAGTTTTTCCAGCTGTCATTCATGTATTGGTTGTTGTAAAGTCAGGGGTTTCGGGGTGGTGGGAAGGGGGAACAATTAATAGCAATGGCTTTGCATAATCCGCACATTTAATTCAAATTACAACAATAGCAACAACTAGTACTCAGAACTGCAAACATCTAACCAAACAGCAACCCAATGGAGTTCATTCACCTGGCGACGAACGAGCCACAATGATCGGATCGATGCACCCAAACAAACAGCCATCAATGATGCACCCACCCACCAGCCCACCTCCAACAATTCTTGGCCAAGTGCCAAGTGAATTAAAATAATGCCTAAATAAAGTGTAATGGATGGATTTGGAGGAGGAGAGTGGTTGTGGGGAGTTGTTACTCTTTGATATTAAACTGAAATTTAAATTCTATGCCGCCAGGTAGTTTTTCCCCCTAATAACTATTGCCTTTGGAAACTACGAGAACAACGACGATGATGACGACGATGGCAATGGCGCTGATGACTTTAAGCAAATAAACTCCTCTAGAATAATTCTCTGGAAAAAACCAGAGAAAAAATTACCTCGCTTTTGCTCCGGCATGTTGCACTAATGGCCAATATTAGTGGCCGCTCGCATTTGTTGTTATGAAAAATGCAAAAAAAAAACTAAAATAATAAAAACAATAACAATAATGTATTGCAAAAGATCTTGGTAAATAATAGTGCGGTATTCGAATAAACAAACCATGACTTGACTTGCTCGCCGCTCGCCCATAGTTGGTGACTGGCGGATGGATGGATGGTTAGTTGGTAGGTAACGTGGTAACTTATGAATTATGATAATGACAATCCAAGAGGTGCATAAAGGAGCGCAGGGTGCTGGGGAGCTGTTTGTAAAGCAACACAAGCAAAAGAAATAAAAAATTAAAAAAAAGATAAACAAACATAAATAGCAATGGCCACTGCTAGCTATCATAATTATCATTAACATCATTATCATCATGGTTAAGTCCAGATGGAGAGGGACTTATATTTAGCTTTAACTTTTTATAGCATGTAGTCATTTTTTAAAGTGAAACACAAAATATTTAAAATAATCTTCACATTAAAGTCCTTCTATATATCTGTTCATGGTTAACCTGGTTTTAACATGGTTTCGATATGCCATTAAGACATTGACATATATAGACAGAGAGCTTCTGGTCATAAACAAACCTTCGATAAATAACATTTCTCCCATAGGACTTATCTAAAAAGAAGTCCCTTAATAGATCTCCAATAGATAAAACAATTAAAAAATCAACTAAGTTTGGCCGGGCAGAACTTTTTATATCCTCCACCAGAACTTTCTATACCCTCCGCCATTCGGAAGGAATTTGATAAATGTAAATACGAACACGTGGTTCTGGATAAGTAATTGTTTTGTCATACGCTGTAGTAACGATTCTGAACTTCAAATACGAAATTCGAAACAATTCCGGCAAATAATGTCTAAATATAGGAAGGTACCGTTGTATAGGGGCTTTGCTAAGACATGGACCTGCATAGACAATTTTCCGTCATAGGTTGTAGTACCCATTACGAACTTCAAATACGAAATTTGACGCAATTCCGTATAAACGTAGACCTATATAGACAATCCTCTTTCAGAAGGTAAAGTACTCAGAAGGAACTCCTTGTGTGGATTTTCAGGTTATTCCATTGAACATTTTGGCTAAAATCTTTAAAATATCCAATATCGGGGGGCACCATTGTATGGAGGCTATATCATGGACAATTCTCTTTCAGGAGGTAAATTACTCACAGATAACTCCTTGTGTGGAATATCAGACAATGCCATTGAACTAAACTGACTAAAATCATCAAAATACCAAATGTCGGGGGTACAGTTATGAGTATATGGGGGATATACGACATCGTGGACATATATAGACAAATTTCTTTCAGAGGGTAAAGTACTCAGAAAGAACTCCTTGTGTAGAATTTCAGACAATTCCATTAAAAAATGTGGCTAAAATCATCAAAATTCCCAATATCGGGGACCACAATTTTATGGGGGCTATACGATATCGTGGACCTATATAGACAATTCTCTTTCAGGGGATAAAGTACTCACAGAGAACTTCTTGTGTAGAATTTCAGACAATTCCATTAAAAAATTTGGCTAACATCATCAAAATGCCCAATATCGGCGGCCACCATTTTATGGGGGCTATACGACATCATTGACCTATATAGACAATTCTCTTTCAGGGGGTAAAGTACTCACAGAGAACTTCTTGTGTATGTGGTTAAAATCACTCCATTGAAAAATGTGGTTAAAATCGTCAAAATACCGAATATCGGTATCGAATAATAATATACCCTCCATACTATGTATGCTGGAGGGT